TTTTGTAAAAGAACATCCTGCATTTTATTTACTGCATCCTAACTCTGTTTTTTACTTTCTTACTTTTTTGTTAAAATCTTGCCTATATTAAAAGTATATACTTTCATCTTCTTTTCCCTTTTTTAAGAGACACACCAACATATGGAAAGAACGAAAAACAAGAATCAAATATGTACTGTATGTTTGTTTTAATATGAAAAAACTAAAAATAAATGTTGGAAAACTGTAATAAGTATTCTAGAATTTTTTGTAAATACGTCTCTTTATCTTTTCAAAAAAAATAATACCTTAGAAAATGCCATTGTGATTTTTTGTGAACCCTTGCATTGCTAAAAAAATCATGAAAATTTAGACAACGTGGCAACGTCGCATCAGAATTTCAAAAATGACTAGGCTTGAAAAGGCCAATCAAAATACTAAAAAATTAATACAGATTCAAAAAATATACTCAAAAATTAAAGTTTGTATACACTATACAGAGTGTTCTGTTTTTGATTGTAACATAGTTTATTTAAACGGAACTTCCAGTATAATTTTTGCTTCTTTGGAATAACCTCTTCTTATACTTTATTCAGGATGGGTCACTAAGCGGGAGCTCCTCGATGTTTCATTAATTAGGTACTATTAGAAGTAGAAAATTCCAAATTCAAAGTTCTACAGTTCTTTGAGGACCATATAGTAAAATTATTTTTAACTATCCAGAGTGTTCAGTTTTTAAGGCGTAACGCCCTACTTAGTTTTTCAAACAGCAAAAATACCGTATATACCTACTTATTTTGATTTTCATCAAATGGATTTATAACTAGAGGTATTTACATTTTCTTGAAATTTTTTAGCCATGAAAGGGTTAACAAAAAAATCGCATTAGTGCTGTTTTTAAAATCGGTCCTAAATATTTTGTGGCGATACCTATAAATAAAAAGTGTAGATATTTCAGTTTTTGAAACAAAATACTCTGTATTTGATTATTCCATCTTAGTCTTTTTGTTCTCTTTTGTTGTATTTTTACTTCCAGAGCTTAAGTGAAGGAAGTATTGTATTCAAGTCCGTCGGTCGACTCTCTACTTTTACGTTTTTTCTATCTTTCATGTCCCCTAGAGTACGAAGAAATAGGTCTCCCGTTTCCGTCTGTCTGTCCGTCTGTCTCCCGTCCTGATTTTTATTAGACAGATAATTTCCAAAAGTACTAGGCCGATTGTTGTCGAATTTTGTATTTATATTAGGAATATAATGTAGATGGTAAAATAATGTGATGACGTCACTTTAAAATTGTACATAGTAAATGGGTTTTAAATTGTATTAAAAACATAGTCCTACACATGTAATTTATGACTCCGTGTTGAGTTTTTAACCAAAACGTCCAGATTTTTGGAAAAAAATCAAAATTATAAAAACGACATTTTGCATTTTAATTTTGAATCTGCCAAACTGATTGCTTTGGAATCTTGCAGATGTTTTAAATTCATGGTAAGCATAATAAATTTTTAATCAAAATATATTTGCTTATCCCCTCCAAAAAATTGATGACGTCATCTCAAAATTTTGCCGGATAAATCCTGTCTAAAATGTGGAAAATATGATCAATCTTAAACTTAAACAGGGTGACTCAAAAAAATTAATGAATGCATGAATTTATTTTATTGATTTAATCAGAAACTGCAAAACATAAACCTTTGAAGTCTTGGAGATATTTTAAAGTTATCATAAGCATGGTAATTTTTGATCAAAACGTATTTGCTCATGCCCCCTAAAAAATTGATGACGTCAGCTCAAAATATTGCTGAATACATCCTAACTTAAATGTGCAAAATATAATGAGTCTATAATAAGTCCATACTTGTGATTTATCACTGCATTAATATTTTTTAAATTTGCTTATACAGGGTGCCTCAGAAAAATTAATGACTGAGTTGTTAAAAAATGGATATCCAATCAAATTTAGGAATTTAACGCGTTACTATGGAAATTTGCAATTTAACACCTTTTAAATTTAACAAGTTTCAAAAGTTTAATAAGCGCAAAATCAGTCTTATCTTAGCAAATGCTAGCCCCACCCACCCGCCACCTATTTTCTCAGAGTTTATATCATTAGCCAAAATAAGTTTTACTTTTGCAAAGAATAGCCCTTTATTTTCTCAGAGGATAAGCCATTTGCCAAAATAAGACTTATCTTGGCAAGTAGGTACTCTGAGAAAATAAAGGGCGGGTGGGCGGGCCTAGTACTTGCTAAGATAATTCTTATTTCGGTAAATGACATATCCTCTGAAAAAATAGGGCACGGGTGGGCGGGCCTAGTATTTGTTAAATAAAAACTGATTTTGCCCCTATTAATCTTGTAAAAACTTGAATATTAAAGGTGTTAAATTGCAAATTTCCATAGTAACGAGTTAAATTTCTAAATCTACCCGAAATATGCAAAATATGATAAGTTTTTACTTATGATTTATCACTGCATTCATATTTTTTAGATTTGCTTATACAGGTGGCTCAAAAAAATTTATGAATGTGTCAATTTATTTTATTGATTAAATCAGTTTCCCAGAAAATTTTGAGAATACCATACTGTTATTTTTAGTATTACACTGCACCAATCCAAGTTGATGTACGTGTCCTTGCAAAAATGTTGATGACGTCATCACAAAACTCAACTAAAAAATGTTTCACCATACTTTAGGTGCGAGGAAAATTTTGTCGAAACAGTTTTCGACCAGTTTTTTATATTTAAAACTGATAGTTATTGGGATTTTTAAAACTTCAGTGTGTTTTATTTGAAACAGTAAAATATCGAATTTTAGTTATTGTAAACTTTATTTTTTTTAACACTCTGTATCTAATATTTTATTTAATCAATACCATAACAGAGCGCGTACATCTGTTTATCTCTGCATAAAACATTGCAACACATCTTAAAAATAACGTCATTGCATTTTTTTTTGTGTATTGTAAATTAAATCCAAAAAAGGGTTAACGTGGCAACGTCGCAACGAAATTTCAAAAATAAATTTTTATATAAAGCTGTAAAGCCTAGGAAGACGCTAAAAAGAATATGTAAAAATATATAGGGTGCTCGGTATATTTAAGAAAAGAAACTAAATTTTTGCTATGCTCCTCGGAAACAAAACACCCTGTAAAATTGTAAAAAATATGAGTGTACTTTACACAAAGAGGCGTACAACTTTTTTTCTACCTCTAATAATAATTAATCAGATATCGAGAACCGCGCGCTTAGTAAATCACCCTGTGTATATTTGATTATCGAAATTTGTATGCAACGTTGCCACGTAATTCCAATTTTCTTGGAATCTTTCAAAACGTGTACAAAAACAAAAGAGCAATAGTATTAAACTGGGTATTAGTATCTAGAGTATGATTCTAAAATATTGATTTCATAACAATTATTTCAACACATTAGCCTGGAATTTATGACTGCAACTTAACATTTAAAAAATTTTTTTTTGTTAAATATTTTACTGAACAACTGGAAATTGACGTCCTCATGTAAAAACAAACAAATGTACAGCAAATATTTCTAAAATATTGTTAAAAACTTGATCAACTTGCAGATTTTTTAAAAAGTAAAGACATTTTAGAGCCCTTTTTCATTTTTTGATTTCAACTTATAAGAACTTATAGTATGAGTGTTATTTGAATAGATGGCAACAGACGCAAAGTATAAAGTATAATTTATTCATATACACATACACGGTGATCAAAAAACCACGGATAATCTGGATGGTTCGTTGTTGAGAAACCACTGAAAAACTCGAAAAAAATGGTTTAAAAAACTACTGAACTAACTATTCAACTTCAACAAATTTGGAGAATTAACTTTTTACTTTCGATATGTTTTATTGTGATTTTAATTGAAAATCTAAAATTCCAATCAAAATTCTCTAAAATCTCATCTGACAACGGTAAAAAAAATCGTGGCTCGTAATCAAGCAAATTATTATTAAATTATTATTAATAACTAAATATGTATTTAACCGAGTATTAAGAGTGACATTACAACAGATCAGAATTAGAATTTAATTCTTGACCTCGGAAATTCAATATTTTCGAAAATGTTTAATCATCCTGTATACACCACAGTTACCAAGAAAAGGAACAGTTTTTTTGTCCAAATTTTGTGGTTTTCCCAAAAATAACATCTTTTCGCTTGAATTATTTTCTCTCAATAATGTGAACTTCATTTAAGCTTGCACGGCAAAATTTTTAAGCAAGTTTTTATGTAAAAAATTTTATTGTTAAATAAAAAAATTATCGGACAAACTAAATTGTCGCAGTTACGGTTTTTGAGTTTCGACAAAAGAAATATTTTAGACCTAAGAGAATTTAGTAATGATGCAGCATTTTCATTTTTAAAATTTCTGTATTTTTTTGCAGCAAACGATATGGATCCATTAAGCATATGAAATTTTTTTCCTTGTTGTGGCTATAGACAGCTTTCGTTTATCCTATAAAAACGTAACCATAATAAAACCCTAAAGGTTTTATTACATTTGACATATTACTTTATCACGCCTTTGTACACTCTCATTACGAGAAAATAATCAGCCTGAGTGCGGGAATTAAAGCCATCTATACGCCAACAGCGCAATGACAAAACACACTTGTTGTTATTTAAGTCGAACAACTCGCTTTTAATTGTAGTTCAATCATCTGTTAAAACAAGAAAAAAAAAACAAACTGCAATAATGTAATGATCCAACGATTATGAAATAAGTTGGACATATTTATTCCTTTTACGTGATTAACTCATCTTTTTTTTATGAATTATTATTATTAGTCACTCCGACAGTAAAAAAAATGTTAATACTTACCGCCTTGGACAACGCGAGGATCTCTACGAATTATTCATTCAGGTTAGCCGGCAGAAATTTTTTTGCCAACAATAAAGAGAAATTCTTATTAATTCATGTAAGTCAAGTACATAAATATTAATGTACTTCTGTCTGGTAGTTTTTCAAGGATTACGACACGTAAAAAAGGTTATAGAATGGGTCACGAACATGCTTTATTTGGACTAGATAATTATTAGCAACAATAAGTAACAGGTTATCTGCATGAGCTTTGATGATAATAAATCAGTGTGATTGTCTACGGGGCTGGGGGCTGGAGAAGGGGCGATATCTACGAAAGAGAATTTCTCATCTTCTAAGGGGCAGCCAGTCTCCCACGTCCTCACTCTGATACTGTAAGAGAAAAATCACCATCAAAAATCGCACCCTCTAGTCTAATTTCTTCTACATATCAAAATTAATATGTTGTCTCCCACCAAGAAGCTAATGACGTCGTCTTAAAACTTATCAATAAATCCGTTACGTTTTTCGATGCATGCCATACTAGTAGTGGTTCAGCACCGAGACAATTTCTGTGTAAACAACTTTGCAGATTTTTTCAGTCACGTCTGAAGCTCCCTTCATTAATTAGCGCACAAAAAGCGGTTTTTATGCAAAACGCCGCCTCTAAATGGAACACATTTGTTTGCTTCGCTTATTAAAGAGTAGGCCGATGTTGTAAAGGCACGAAATAAATTGGACTGTTATTAACCTGTTGATGGGACATTTCTTTAGGGCGAAGTAATTAAAAAGACACTTTTAGAAACGTCAAATAAATGAGTCGTTACGAGCTGCAATTTACAAAGGAGACGTTCGGTGGCAATAATATGCGAAAGCGACTTAATCATATTAAACTTGTCGATACGCTATAATTTAACTTCTTGTTCCAATAATTACGTTTCTTTGCATGCAAATGTGGTAAACACGCGGCGGCTTTCATATTTGTTGAATGAAAGCATGAGGAGTGATTATCGGATGAATTATAGCCATTTTCTTAATCTCGGCTGCTGTAGGGACAACAGTCGAAGGTGAAAATGAGATTTGCGGTTTTTTTATTTCTTTGTGCTTTGATAATTATAATATGCAAAACTAGTACACAGTGCGAATTTAAGATCGCTTTTAGGGAAAATAAAATTTAAATAATCTAAAACTTTGGGCCTACTTTTGAAAGGTTAGAATTTTCTTGAATTTTTAGATTACATAAAACACCCACGAAAGTTTTTTGTATAAGGCATTTCCAGCTTCAAAAAGTTTTATCTATCGATTATTCGTTGTGGTTTTCATAAATGCAGAATATCCAACGGTGGCTTGAAATTTGATCCCTAACGTATTTGTTCGCAAATATCTCAAACTCATCACTGAAGAAAAAATAAGTTAAATTTGGAACTTTAGTTTGAGTGTATATTTTGGTTATTAATTTTACATTGGTAGGGTAATGTTGACTTTTAAATATAAAAACTCTTTGTATAGTTAAAAAATATGGCACGACATTAACATTTCGTTGAATTTGACATACAAAGTACATCATAAACTGCAATCTGTGGAAATAATTAAACAATCGGGTGTAAATAATCATACTGTTCATGGTCAATAAATGTACCAGTTTGGTTTTACATGATTAAATTTGTACTCGTTTATACAACAATGCGATTAATAGGTCACGATGTAGACAAAATTACAACAAATTAAATTTTCGTTTTTTTAAAAATATAACATTTTGATTTTATTTTACTTTTAATATACATATATGGTACATTTTTGTAGGGAAATATGAATTTTGCAGTTTTGCCTTTCGGACTAACAACCAATTAAAAATTCCTCACGATTGAGATCGAGACATGGGTGGGGCTTATCTTTTGGCTTTCTTTTAGCAACACGAATACTTAACAACATGTTTCACATGGTAATTTCTCGTACAAAAATAATGATTTTGCTGTTAAGCCCCGCCCCCTCTTGCACACGACGAACAAAGAAAAATCGTCACAACTGAGACGGGGCGGGTGGGCGGGGCTTATAATTAACCTTTTTTTTCTTAATATACATACTCTTCAGAACAAGAGAATGTAAACATGTTTAAAATGGTAAATTTTATCCCCACACTTCTCTACAAATTTACCATTTTAAACAAATTTCCAGTTTCGTGTCGTAAATAGAAAACTACGTACATATGTTAAGAAAAAAAGGCAAAATACAAACCTCGCCCACCCGCCCTGATTTCAATTGTGATGAATTTTTTGATTCGTCGTGAGCCAAGGGGCGGAGCTTCATTGCAAAATGTTATTTCTCTACAAGAAACTGCTGTGTGAAACATACTTTTAAGTATCATGTTGTTGAAAGAAAACTATATATGTTAAGAAAAAAAGAGAGAAAAATAAGCCCCACCCACCCGCCCCAACCCCACTTGTGTTGAATTGTTCATTCGTTGCCCACCGAGGGGTGGAGCTTAATTGTAAAATCCATGTTTTCCCACAAAAATTTACCATCTTAATCTTGTCGTGAAAAGAAGATTACGTAGGTATATTCAGAAAAAAGGCAAAAATTTAAGCCCGCGCACCCGCCCCCATCTCAGTTGTAATTATTTTTTTATTCGTTCTGAGCCGGGGGGGCGGAGTTTAATTGCAAAATCATTATCTCTTTGCAAGAAATTCATTCCTATTTTTATTTTAGCTATAGAAATTATCGTAAAAAATTAACTTTGTGGAATAATATTTGACAATTTAATTAGGAATGTATGTATATAAATGTATTTTTTTTGATTTTTGATATAATGTGATGCAAAAAAAGTGCCCCAAAAATTAATGTTTGAAGATTTTTGTTTCCAAAACAGTGAAATCGTCATAACAGAACTATATCTATTAAAATGTAGCAACTTTTTAGGAAGTTAGGATGTACCAGTTTGGATAAATAGGTATAGTTTTGGAAATTTCATTCTACCCTATAAAATTTTATTCACAAGAACGAGACGGACAGTAGTACAATGGTAAGAAATATTTATGGCTCACACCAGTTCACCTGAATTTGTAGGAGAACATTTAGCAGTTCGTGAGTAACGATGGTCCCTGTCCGGACCTGGATTATTCTGCTTTCTAACATTTGGGGATTACCGGCACGAGACAACTTTAAGTTGTAAATATATTTTGCTATTGCACTACTGTCCGTCTCGTTATTCCCAATAAAATTTTATAGGGTAGAATGAAATTTCCAAAACTATATAATTTGCTAAATGCATTGTTTTTTAGTCACCCTGTGTAAGAAATTTTAAAATATATTAACGCTCTAATAAACGAAATGTATAGATATTTTAGACCGAATTTATCAAGTTTTTGGAAAAAATAAAGGGATAATATTCTTAAAACTTTTATAAGATTTTAGACCATTAGATTTTGTAATTTCTAATTTAAATTATCAAATGTTAGTACACCATTTTAATTCCCTTTTCCAACAACTAAATATCCAATGTAAGAAATAAAGGCAAATTCATAAAGCACAACTAGAAATGTATTACCTTATTAAACTTAAGTAGCATTTACTTCGCAATATTCATCAGATAAATTTTGGTCGGTATTTTAGCATCTGCAAGATATTCTTAAAGTACATAAAAATTTACAAGAATTAGTCCAGTAGCTGCGGAGATTCTTGGTCTAATAAAATCTCCACAGGCGACAGACCACAGAGTAGAGTACAAAAAGATAGGTCACCCGTTTCCGTCTGTCTGTCGTCTGTCGGTCTGTGACCATTTTTATTAGACATTTAATCTTCGAAACTACTGGAGCGATCGCGTGTTCGATTTTCTCATAGGCCTTTTTCTTCCTTACGCTGTTACTGCTACCATCAATATATTTTTATTTCTCCAACTTAAATCAAGAAAATTAGTAGTGCGGTCCATCGGGCGACTTGTCAATTTCATGTTTTCTCGACGTTTCATGACCACTAGAGTACGAAAAAATAGGTCGTCCGTTTCCGTTTATCTGTCTGCCTGTCTGCCATCTGTGCAGATTTTCATTAGACATATAATCTATAAATATCTGACAATGCGTTATTTCTTAGTTGGCAAGAACAATGAAAATAAATTCAACAAATGAGTAAACATTTTCACAAACTAATTTTTAGGGGAAATTTTTCCTTTATAATTAGTAGATATCATGAACCTATTTTTATAATGTGTTTGTCATTAATGTTAAATTTTTATTTATTAGTAGTAGTTGTAAATTGCGGTCTTACATGAATTTTCATATATTTTAAAATTTCGCTTATCTGTGAGTTTCAGAATCATTAAAGTTAAAAAAATATTTTCATTGTTACCTGTATTGAACGTGTATTGAAATTTTTGGCATGGTAGTTTCCTTTTATGAGTGAGTATTTTAGAGTCTTTGGAAAAAAAGAAAAATTCGGCAAAAATTTTTAAATTCAGAAATCAATAATCTGCTGACTTTTTTATGCTTTAATAAAACGTTGCCGTTTAATATTTTTAAATATTGTGTTTCTAAATCTAATTTTGTAATGTTGGCCTCCATCGTTTTTAACAATAAGTATTAAGAAAGTTTCAGTTAATTTTAATCGCGTTTATTGCAGTGGGTTTGTAACGAAGAAGAGGGGACTCGCTAGCAATAGCAGAAGAAGTCATAAAAGTTGGAAATTTTTGTTAGTCTTGATATGTTGACGGATATTTTAAAGTTTTCATTAGCTTTTGTAAAGGTATTTAAACAAGTACTGTCTGCTATGTCCAAATTCTTATTAGACAGATATTCTCTGAAACTACCGATCCGATTGTTGTCAAATTTTAAATGTATGTTAGGAATATCGTGTAAATGATAAAACGCTAACAAAAATTGGCCTAATCATCCCTACCACCAATGTGATACCATTCCCTCAAAATTTTCACAGTAAGTAGGATTTAAATTTTATAAAATAACATTATCCAGTACTTTTTCTCCACAAAACAAATTTTATATTTTTATTTGTTGGACTGGAAATTCTGTCGTAATAACTCATAAAAAGAAGATTGATGTCATTACATTTTTTGAAGAATTGTTCAACAAATTTCTCTAAAATTCTATCGAAGCCATACGGTATTAATTAGCGTTGTACAACTTAAAATTATTATGTTTATATTCGGTAAAAAATGACGTTTTCCAAGCTTTCAACTAACGATGCACCAAAAAATATATACCGAATGTCTAGTAATATTTGTAATTTTTTTGTCAGGTTGGCAATATGTTTAAAATCTGATGATGGCATACCTGACTGTCAAATAAACATCTATAACACCAAACCAGTAACATTTCTCAGAATAGTGAACCAAAAATAGTCACCCGGTATTTATAAATATACTTTGGGGAATATTGCAAAAATTA